GTACCCCACCAACCGCCCGGTGCGCGACTACCAGCTGCACATCGCGCGCGCCGCGCTCTTCCGCAACACGCTGGTGTGTCTGCCCACCGGCCTCGGGAAGACCTTCGTCGCCGCCGTGGTCATGTACAACTTCTACCGCTGGTTCCCCTCCGGCAAGGTGGTCTTCATGGCCCCCACCAAACCTCTGGTGACGCAGCAGATCGAGGCCTGCTACCGGGTGATGGGCATCCCGCAGTCCCACATGGCCGAAATGACAGGTATCTCAGCAAGAGCGCGTCCCGGTGGAGACTGAGCTGAAGGCGTTCCTGACCCCTGTGGAATAGGCCCCAGACCACAGGACGCTCGTCTTAGGTCCTCTCCCCTAAAACATCATCCCCTGCAGCAAGTGCAGCCGTAACGGGCTGGGTTGGGTGCTGGGTTCGGTACAGATCAGCAGTAAGGCTGTATTCAATCTACGGAGAATCCCAGCAGCTTGCAAGTTAGAGCGTTTTGAAGCGATTGTGTGTGTATACCCCGTGGGTGAGTGAATGTGAGGTTTCCTGACGCTCTTCCCTAGGATTTCCCACTTGAAGAATTTGCTTCTCTTCGAATATTATGCCGTTTTGTAGGGATTCTCTAAAGACACTCAGTCTCGTAGTCTTCGGTAAGAGCCAGCATTGACACCGGGACCACAACAGAGCATTCCGATGATTTGTCACATTGTTCTGGTTTTGAAAGCGGATTACCAAAGCGAGAATGCGTTCTGAAAGTAGACCAGGTTATTTGTATTTTACAGATAACAGTTGGAGTTTAGAATGTAGAATGTCACTTTTATTTACAGGATCTACTCAGGCTTTCACCAGGAAGGAAATATGGCGCAGTAGGAGAGTCCTTTTTCTTACACCTCAAGTCATGGTAAATGATCTTTCTCGAGGAGCTTGTCCCGCTGCTGAAATAAAGTGTCTAGTTATTGATGAAGCTCACAGAGCTCTTGGAAACTATGCTTATTGCCAGGTAATATTTTGTTAGAAAGTACTTTGTAGTGTAAACATTGTTAAAGAGAGTTTTGGGGAAATAATTGTTAATGATGGAGTTATTGATGGTATTATCATTATGAAAAGCCTTATATCCATTATCTCAGAACAGATGGTGATAGGAAACACTTCCCTTCATCCATTCAAATCAGTGTCTCCGCCGTCTTTTTTTTTGCTGTTGTTAAAGCTTAACAAGACCATTACTGTCCGATGTAGTTGGTGAGAGCCTAGTCATGGTTGAGGCAGTGATCCAAAGTAGGGTATGGCTGGAGTTTGGGGACTAAGATAATAATCCAAAGATTGATAGTGAATATGCAGTGTCATTCCTTGGCAGGTAGGTAAAATAATACTCAACTGTCAGCGTTGTTGTAAGGATTGAATGGCATAATGTGTGCAACAGACCTGACAGTGCCCACCTTCCCGTTAAGTACTATAGGAAAATAAAGTACAGAGGTGAAGAGGTCGGATATGGCTGCAGAGGTGCGTCAGGGTGAGGTCACGAAGGCTTTTGTATTTTATGCTTAGCAGTTTGAATGCTCTTTGTAGGCCGTAGGGGACATAGGCAGTGGAGACTCCTTGAAAAATGTTTACCTGAGGTATTACTTAAGATTTAAAAGAGCTTAGAGGAGAGAAGGCTAAAGGCAGAGTGTACAGTGAGGGGTAGGAGGAATTTAGGATGACCCTCAGGTTTCTGACATGGAAGGTTGTGAGGATGTTGGTGCTACTAGTCAAGATGGAGAGTTCTGGAGGCGGAGAAGATTTGGGGTATTGTGGAAAGATAGTGCAGTTTTAGATTGTTGAGTTTGGGGCGTCTCCGAGGAATCTAGCTGTAGATATCCAGGAGGCAGCAGGTGGTGGAAGTATGGATCTCGATGGAGAGTTCTGGGCTGGAGATTCAGAGTTGGAAATCATCAGCATAGAGGTGGTAGTTAAAACTGTAATAGCTGGTCGGGATACTAGGGAGAGGGTATAGAGTAAGAATAGAAGGGAAAGTTGATTTCATTTAGTGCGAAGACATGAATTTCATTGCTGGTTTGTGAATTTGTAAAGTAGTTTCCTTGGGGACTTTAGTGTTATTGTATTATATCTCTGTATTATCTTCTGGAGAATTGTCGTCTTTCTTAGAGTTGATCTCAGCCAGGCAATGGATATATTTTTTCATTTGTTTTTGTCTTTCCAAATTAAATTAATACCCAATGTGTTAAGGTTTCTGCTTGAGAGGGGCATTTATAAATTTTTATTCTAACTCTATGGAATTCACTTGGTAGATTTAGTTTATATTTAGTAACTTTTCTCATTTATTTTCAAAAATTTTCTAGGCATTAGGTGACTTTTTTTTTTTTTTTTGTGAGGAAGATCAGCCCTGAGCTAACATCCATGCTAATCCTCCTCTTTTTGCTGAGGAAGACCGGCTCTGAGCTAACATCTATTGCCAGTCTTCCTCCTTTTTTTTTTCTTCCCCAAAGCCCCAGTAGATAGTTGTATGTCATAGTTGCACATCCTTCTAGTTGCTGTATGTGGGACGCGGCCTCAGCATGGCTGGAGAAGCGGTGTGTCGGTGCGCGCCAGGGATCCGAACCTGGCCGCCCGTATGGGAGCGTGCGCACCTGGCCGCCCGTATGGGAGCGTGCGCACTTAACCGTTAAGCCACGGGGCGGCCCTGATTTTTTTTTTTTTAACTACAAGGCTTATGCTTTTATTGAGTACAGTGAGACATGCATTGACTTCATTAATATCCAAACAGCCCTGAGAGTTTACACAACATTGCATATTCTAGATATAGGCTCCAGTGGGCACACCAGCTCAGTGAAGAATGTAGCTTCCTGGGTTGCAAACACAACACCGTTTCCCTCTACAAACTGATTGAGAATCTCTCCTAGAGAAAAGCATCGTATTAAGGACTTTTGTCTTGCGTCAGTTTTTAATTAGAACAACTTTACCTAAGTCTTCATTAAGTATAATGTTCTATCTTTATGTACATTCTGTATCATGTTATGAAAAACTCCATAAATAATATTTTTTGAGTATTAATCAAGATTCAGTCTCATTGAATTCATCCTTGACATGAGTTAAAATTAGAGCAGTTTTTAGATAATCTAGTTTTACTGTTTCTATATCTAATGTGGAATATGGGATACTGAGAGCTGTTCCTGCAGCTCAGTTTGCTTAGGGGTCCTTTTCTCTTTTATTGGGGCCTCATGTGAAGAGGCATATGGGACTCTGACAAATTATCCAATATTAATCATACCGGAAGTGGGTGTTGAATTCAAACTGCAAAGCCTAGAATGATGCTTTGGTGCCACTGAGAAAATGTCTTAGGATTTAAAAGGAAAGTAAGAGTTTTAAAATTACCCCAAATTAGCCTTATTCTTTTATGAATAAACATAATTTAAAAATTGTGAGCTTTTCGCATAAAATCTAACTTCTTTAAAATCTTTCCTACAACAAATTTTACTTTTCATTTCAAATCTAATTTCGTAATGGAATTTAATTTTTTTTCTATTTTTATGTTATAATTTATCTTAATCTGGCAAGTGTGCGTATGGATATAGCTGTAAGGCTAGACTGTGGTCCAAGCAACGGAGAGTGGACGCCCTCTCCTCCTTCCATTTGCCCTTGAATTGGCCCTCTGGGTTTTTTGATTTGCCTCTGTATTAGGCCTTGCTGTCGTAGCTCCATATATAGAAGAAACCCTGAGCTGGTTGACTGGTGTGGAGTGTAAACCCAAATCATTCATTTGCTCTTCAGATAATGTGACTAATGATAGTTCCACCCACTAGACCATCAATACTCTGAATAAGGAATAATGATGATGGACCATATATAGTAGCTTGTTTAAGAGAATGGTTGTTATTTTTGTATTGGATAAAATTAAAGAACTGTTTTTTTTTTTTTTTTTTCTTTAAGGTCGTAAGAGAACTAGTCAAATATACAAATCACTTTAGAATCTTGGCTCTTAGTGCCACACCAGGTAGTGATATAAAGGTAAGAGAAACGTCTTTCCATTTATTAACATTTAAGAAAATGAGAACTTCTGTATGTGGCCACATCAGTTTCCACATCAGTACTGAGTTTGATGTTAGGACCACGGCATTTCCTACAACATGCCTACCTTTGCTTCTATGAGTGGGGGAGTTTTTCCGTCTTAGTAGTGTTCAGACTGCAGTGTGCATAAGAATCACCTAAAGCCGTTTGTTAAAAGTACTAAATTTTTTAAATAGTAAAATTGTTTTTTAAGTTGTTACCGTTTTCAATTCTTTTTTTTTTTTTTTTT